GTCATACGTTCCTGTGAATCAGCGGTTAAACATCCGTGTTGGTACCTATACACGTTAACAGTGATGGAACAATATCCTGGTGAAAGTGTTGCATCTTTTAGAAGATGATTGCTCTGCATTTGAAAAATAAACAATGGCTTTCATCAAAAAGGAATATCCTGACAGAGTGCAATAAATAGAGCCGTAGCTAGCTCCTTTTGCAAATAAATATTTACATGACTGTGTTGTAAATATTTTGAAGTATAAAATATAGTTCCTGAGATTTGGCCTCCTGAATATTGGGAGATGCCAGGTTTGGTCAATTTTGGCTGAGCCCCACAGGAATCCTGCATGTTTGAATTTTCCTGCATCCCATTGGATGTTAGGCCGCATTGAAACGGCTGCACTTCAACAACGGGCAGTTCCACAAAATAGTGTGTGATCCTTTATTTTTTGTGTCTTAAGCAGCACATTGAAATAATGGGAATCCAGCCTTCGAACCATTGTACTACAAAAGACTAATAGGCTCATGCAGGAAAAGCATGCTAGCTAGAAATTGACTTGTTTCCATAACAACCAATCAGAATCCATGTTTATATTTTAACTCTGCGCTGAAGCTATGACATTTGGATGCTGACTGTTTGCTATGGGCAGTAATACATTTTTAAAGTTAGATCACGTATCAAAAATAGGCTTTTCACGCAAGCATATTTTCACACAGAGAGTATTGGTTGGTGTAATCTAACCTACAAACACGCAGAAAACTTCCACTGACGTGGGTTAAAATTGCTCATAAGCATTAAAGTGATGCTAAACTCAGGAATTAAATCTTAAAAATACGTCCAAGTACCTTTTAATAATTAACAGCAATGTATCTTATTTGTCTATCACTCGGCTGTAGATCCTCAAATCATCTCTGAATTGGTGCTGACACTGTCCTTCCTTCTGCAGGGTGGCTACTTTTGTTCCTCATGGTCTCTGTGTGTGTGTTGTAAAGTAGCCACCTCTCCAAGCTTGCTCCCATGATGGACTACAATCTCACATTTTAGTTTACTAATTTGTATTGAGATTGTAGTCCATCACAGGAGTGAGCTTGGAGTGTTGGCTACTTTACAACACACACACAGGGACCATGGGGAACAAAAGTAGCCACTCTCCAGAAGGAAGGACAGTGTCAGCTTGAACTCAAAGATGATTTGAGGATCTACAAGCAGAGTGATACACAAAAAAGATCCATTAAGAAAGATGGTTAAGAAACTTGAATGCATTTTTAGGCTTTAATTTCTGAGTTTACTGTCACTCTAAATGCACACGCACTTGCATGTATGCGTAGGTGGAAGCACATATAAAAATGCATATTACATGAACTCCCATTACTAGAAGCGTATAGACGTGAATGAGCTCCATGATCGTCACAAGGATTCGGAGCAGCAGGTATAATGGGGGCTGTTTCGGAGGAAAGTCATTGCAAAAGGAATTCTGGCTTTTTACACGTTCAGAAAATGACAATTATAAATGCTGTTGTAATAGAACCTTCCACCCCTTTCACCTTTTTTTAAATTGTTTTTGTCCTTGTGCTTTTCATAAAATGAATTGAAATGCGAATGATTCATAACACGGATCGAGAAATCCAGCCCACACAGCAATTTGTTTTGTGTTACGTTGCATGTAACAGGTAGGCAGCACGACACCATACATGAGGCATGCTTTCACCCACAGCGCAGCATATGTCATGTATATAACAAATGTGCTTGTTTTTTTATTTACGATTTCAAATGTTCCATACGATTATCTCGATGCTCATACCCGTCATTGGTGTGCTGAGATCTTTAGTCATTTCTTCATAAGGTTCACATTTAAGGCAAGCAAGAAAAAAATCTTAAGGATTGTGTTGAGGGGCAGGTTAGATTAGCAGGAAAATGACGCACAGCATAGAGAAGAAGCAGTAGATTCCAGCAGCTCTGGCAACTTCAGCACTGGTATCTTACAGTGCCCTGAAGGCTTGGCCTTTGGCACAGAGGATCCACATGCAGATGTGAGTATGCAACCAATGGGTTAAATGTATGTTCATGAGAGTTATTGTAAGGGTTTTGGGGTATAGGGAAGGTGATTAAGGTTATAAGAAGGATTTATGTCATGGGGCCTTAGCGTAGCTGTAGGGCATTGATCTCTGTGCTAAAACCACCAGCTCTGAAAGCTAATACGTTGACATAAACATAAAGATTTAAGTATTTATACTAAAAAGTGACATGTCTGGCTTGAAGTCCTCAGGAAAACGCTTTGTGTATACGTCTCATAGGTCATATTGCCAATGGTTTTGGGCAGTACAGGGTGCCTTCCGTACCGCAGCACTGTCTTGCCTTGAGGAAGGGAGCTTAAGTGGCCCTGAAATGTTGACAATATGACCTATGTGACATATACACAATAAAGCAGATTATCTTTGCACCTTGAATGACTGAGTGCTGGTGATCCTTAATTTTCCTGAGATTCTGCTTGGTGCCATCCAGTGCCACTATGAGCACAGCCCCCCCCC